CGATGTCATCGAGATAGCCTTCATGTACAACCTTTGTATGCGTTTGCTACCAATTTGTTTCAGTAAACCGTTATTGATGTTGAAGAAATTCTTGTTAGACACATGATTTTATGAATTTGGATATAAATCGGATATGTAAAATATACATAATAATTTCTTATGCCTATTACGAGGTTGTATTTTTAGTTTAAGAATATTGGCAAGTAGTTTTGTGCAAATCCTAGTAATATTAATAGTGCTTAGGTTAAAATGTGAACTTAAACCATATAAGAACAAAACTTTTTAACAGGGCAACTATCTCTAAGTTAAACTTAAAATTTATTCGTGATGTTGATGATGCAAACAGAAATTAAGAGTAAAGGAATCATAAGAACAGTCATTTACAAAGTACCATTGGATCTGAGTGAACATTTAATGTTAAAAGTTGTTTACTTAAACAAGGAGTATACATTTTCCTATTATTTGGCTAATAATCCTCTGGTGTACTGCTTAATATTTGTCATAAAGATTTACATTTTACTTCCATAAGCAATAGTTAATTAGCATAAGTAGCTTTAAACAGAACATTTCATAGAATTGGTAATTAGTGTCTATTAAGAAGTATTTTGTATTAAAAATATATATTTTTGCGTCATAAGACCATGGAAAGGAACCAAGACGATCGCAAACCTGTCAGATGATTCAAAGTCACCGAAAATAAATTGCCATTTGTCATAATGACACCAACCTTTCTCCTGTTACAAATATACACAATTTAGTGTCAGGGTTTAATATTTATAGTAGTTCTAGAACGCTTGTTTTCTCAACATAAAAATATCGTTTAATCTATGTGACACGATTTTTAAGTGGACTATAAAATGTAATAATACTGTGGATATTTTTTTTATATAAGTCTTAAGAGCCATAAAAACAAACATTTCGGATTCATAAAAATAAGAATATATGTCGATTTTAAGCTATAGTTTTAAATTTCTAAAATTAAGTATAATTTTTATACATTTCATAAACATAAACAGTTGAACTAAAATATAAGTAATTAACCAATATTTTAACATCTTTAAGGAAAAATTAATATAAGCTTGATAAATATAAATAGCCACTGTGAGGATAAAAAAGAATAATATTTGGTAATCGATTGACATTGTGATTTATGTATATAACCTGATTTTTTAAATTTTTATTTTAACATGTAAATGTTAAAAAGGTATATACTAATATAATTATCAACTAGATAATATGTAAGCGTTGACATACATGCTGAGGATTTTCTTAGTTCATTTGTTTATATAATGAATAGTCAAACAAAACTTATATGAACGAAATTAAAACCAATTTTTATCATTTTCCACTGTATACAGGCTATGAATTTTACTTTCTCATATAAATATTCATTGACCATACTGCATACAAAGTTAAACGGTGTCATTATAAAAAATATTATAAGATATAAATATTTTAAATACAAAAAACATATGCAAAACGTAACAAAACACCACAATCGAACAGACTGTACAAGTCATAATTTTAGTATAATTAAAATGAATTATTTTTATTATAAGCAAGATAGGTCGCTGTACCCATTTGTATGAATAACTTCCACTATATCCACATACATTACCAATCAAGTAGAACGAATATTACGTAATCAGGTTGTCCTAATGGTTTCGGTGATGATAACGTCAAACCCATAAATAACGTTAGCCGACTGTCAGCTCGGTTGACTGGGCTTAGTCGCGTCATATGACGTCATACAGATTAACTGGCTTGCAAACAAATCCGGTTAAATGTTTACAATATTATTGGATTACGTCCCCGTGTATACATGTGTCAGTGCATTTTCCTATGCATTTCTATTGTTATTTATAGATAATGTGTAAAGATAGCAAAGGTAAAGTTGGAACATGTGGCACTAGAATCAGCGTGTGAATAAAATTTTAGTTATTTTTATAATCGCAAATTGAAGTAATGGTATTTCTTATTAAAAACGACTGAGATTCCTACTTCTTATTTGTGCTGAAAAAAAAAAGAAATTTTGGTCTATATAATACTTGTCAAGTGATTTTCTCTCCAACCTAAAAATTTTGACTGGCCGGAATATTCAGAAAAAAGATGTTATAAAAACCAAAAAGGGAAAAAAGCAAAAGCACGTAAACGATTATGTGGGTTTAATTTAAAATGTTGGAAAGTAAATCAATGATGCTCTCACTCTCATCCTCTGAAGGCAGGAATGAATAATCAAATTTAAACTTTATTATTAGTGTCTCAAATTACGTAAGACAAACTTATAATTATAATTTCATACCTAATTATTATGCATGTTATCTGCATCTGACACTTTAATATAAATTTAAGTATGCACATTTCATTAAAAATAAATATATAAACGCGAAAAAAACCTGTACCTTTTTCATTATTCTTAAAAAATTTAATCATCATAAAATATATAAAAAAATCGTTTGCAATAATTAACGATATCAATAATCACAAAGTCGTAATTTGCATTCAATTAACTTGTTTTTTTTTTCGATAAAGAGTTGCGAAAGTAGCCGCAATTGAAAATGAAATCCGTATATCTCTTTGACTTATAAAATTGGTTTCATCTTAAAACCTGAAGTAAGATTAACAAATTCAAAAAGGATACCAACCGGTCTTTAATCGTGAAACATATAACGCAATATTAACGGTATTGCTTCGTTAAAATGGTAATATACATAACCATTTAAATTATAACGAAACAATATAATATATTCTATTATTAATTACATATTAATTATCAATTACATATAATATATCGTTATAAAAGGCTAGTTCTTCTCATGTGTGATATTCCTAACAATTTGATGTTTTCCATTCCATTGTCTCAAGGGCACTAACTCATATGTTTTTATATTTTCCACCTGTTTTTTTCTATTCTGGATATTTCCATCAACCACAACCAATTTCCTGCTCGATGGTGATTCATTTAATAGCTACATCAGTTAAAGAAATACTTAAAATTTCTCAGTTTGATGAGTTTTCCGCGCTTTTATTAATTTGTTAATATAAATAAATAAATCGGTTGCAAAGGTAATACAAGATGTTTTTTCGTTTAAGCATTTGTGAATTTTAATTTCAGTTAAATTGTTTTGAATTCTAACAAGTTAACATTATTTATATTCTAACAGGTAACGATAACAGATATTTCAGCAAAACAAAATACTTGGGCCGCTATCCAAGAAAAATAATGGGGTCAGGGTCCCTCAAAAGAGTTTCAAGGGTTTAAATTTTGAGATATGTTAATTTAATAAAATAATTGCATGAAATTGTTTTAAACTTAATTTTGATAATAAGTTTATTGTAAGTATTTTCAATATAAAATTAAATTTATATTTTTTAATCAATTTAACAGAATATTTACTCAAATAGCTTTAAATCCTTAGAAAAACCAATGCTCAGTATCTTACTGAATACTGTTGTAACAACTCTCTTATAGTATGTAATTACATGCTACTAGTACTCATAGCAAAGAGAAACATTTTTCATTGTTGAAAATTGCAAATAATCTTGATTTATTTCTCAAACAAGCTCTTTAAATTCTCTTTTTTCATAAGAATATTTTTTCATCCATTTAGTTATTTTTTAAGTGTAGCATTAATAGTTACAGCATTTTCAGCAAAGAAAATCAGCATTTATCTAATCTAATTTTACGTTTCTATAAATAAGTTGTGTTGTCTACACTATTAGTGACGTGTCATAGATATTACATTGTCAATCAATACAGTTATAAAATACATGAATAGAAAAAATGTGTGAAATTTTCGTAAAAAAGGGAATAGAAAATTCCCTAAAGAATCCTTCGTCAAGTGCAACATATTCTTTATAATGAAGCTAACACTCATGTCACAGACATATTCTCCGAATTTTTGTGTAGACAAAGCTGGTATAGGATAAGACCTCGGTGGTAAGATATGTAAATTAGGTAGTAAGTTCTTAAACTATGTTTGGCATTGAAAGCGAATAAGTTCACGTCTGGCCTTCACGACTACGCCATTGAGTTAAGTTGATTAATATCAAGTTGCCCAATCTAAGCAGTAAGCACATACCCGCAACTGCACATACATGTGACCTTTTTGATATCTACTGGTTAAATGATTGGCCTTATTAAAACCACCCACTGTAACCAGTTCTGTCTGATGTTGATCTCAAGTGTAATGATATATGTTACAAATGCTATCAGATTAGTGTTTCTTTATACCGTTTCTGACACTACTATCTTATCACCAATTTAAGTGTTTATAAATTTAATATAATAAAACAGGTTTTGTTTTATAATTATTAATTTTAACTATGTTTCTTAAAGTTCTTGTCTAGTTTATCGCATGTACTTTTTATATGTGTCGGTGTTATCTTTATTTATTGTTACTTTCCGCTCTTGCATGACAAACAACAATATACAAAACGTAATTAAAACATTATAATTTTATTTACATACTAATTACTTTGACGGACGACATGTCTTCTCGGCTTAGATTACATCATAGAATCTTAGCAATTATTCTTATTTAGCGTACGACACATCAGATAGACGGTAGATTCCCTTGAAATTTCAAACAGTCTTTCAAATTCGTGCCAAGCTACAACAAACCAACAAATCAGAATACAATCGCACAATGGAGACATTATTATTTATTACGCACACAGATATTGTTGAGAAAGCAACATCAAAACATCATAGGTTTTATCTAGTTTTATCTTTTTGGAGCTTAAGTTTAAACCGCATTCAAATTGTCTCGAAAGATATACCAAAATTTTATCTATATTTAGAGTTTATGGTGTGATTGGATAAGCGTAACTTTACTTATCTTGCATCGATAATATAGCCGATAAGTAAAACATATTGAAATAATAAATTGAGTCACAGATCGTTAGAAATAAAAAGTACCGTATAAAGACATTGACTGTTTGTTTAGTGTGTACATGATGTACTAGTTATAGTGTCGAAGGACGTTCAGTTCGTTAAAATGGCGCAGAAACACGCTACGCACTGCAAAATAGACCACTATTACAAACTAGAGAATAAATGTCTCGAACTAAAGAGACTTGTCATGGAAAAGACTGAAGAATTGAAGCGAAGAGATAAAATAATAGCGCTTCTAGAAAATGAAATCGATGATAAGGATGCAACTATTAGGCATTTAAAAAATGAGATAGACAAATACAGGCAAGTCGTTAAACCTTTGACGAAGCAGATTTTACAAAGGGTTGACGTGGAAGATGATAGGTCAATTAAGGCACCTGGAGTTGAGAATACGAGAGTACTGCCTCTGGGTGAACCCAGGCTTAAGAGGACGGCGATATCAGCAGAACCATTATCATCATTATCTCAGGATTGTGAAATGAGACTTATTAAAATACCCAAGAATCACAAGTAAGTAATGTGTAGGACATTATAAATGACAACATATATATGTAATATGATACTATAAGTGAATTTTTCCTTGCTTGGTATCTATAGTAAAATAATTTTGTTTTAACTTTTTAAATATATATATTATATGACTTTAACACGTAGACAGTTATCGTGTGGATGCTAATAAAATGAACGGATATAACACCACCTCTGTTACTTAGTATGAGCGAAACATCCACGTCAGAAACGTAATTGCTATTGAAATAACCAATTGCAATTAGTTGTATAAATTAACAATTTTATATAAATCATGTAGAATTATTAACTAATAAATATCATGTAATGTCATCAATCAATCAACAATTTCTCTAGCGAGGCCGACGTGTGAGGTGGCACGCCTTCGAACGTTCCCATTTGGTATAATTACAAGCAAACTTTATTATTGTCCTCGCCTATGTCGTTGACGGCTGTTCGATTTACGGTTGTGACTAATTCGCTAATAAGTTTTTATTTGACATTTGCATGTTATAATTAAAATTACTTTTATTGAGATATATATTCTTTAATGTCAACTGTCAACCGAAAATTAACGGCCAGTTGTGTTAAAATTTTTATGTCCTAATTGCACAGTCATGCTGGAAAGTGATACAATATTTTAGTATATAAGAAAATGTTTTCTTGAAAGAACATTTTATGATGAGTAGAAATTAAAATCTAAATATCTTTGTAGTAACAATGATTAAAATCTAGAACTATCAACATTTTATAAGCAATGTCGATTGCATCAATTTGTAATAATACAAAGGTTATTATCATTAAACTCTATTATAAGAGCCTTGTATAATCTTCGAAACAATTATTCATCGGTTCTGATTAAAAATTCTATATAATGAGAGTTTTCTTGATATCAAAATCATTATGCAAGTAATGCTAACAAACAATTAATTTATCCACGGATTTAGATAACACCCGTTTCCGTCTATATTTTCATCAATAGTTAAAATTAAATCCGTCTTTATTAATTTTTATAACTGTAATGATACTTCAGTTTACCGCAAGTTTGAATGTCCTTATTTCTTGAAATCTGAGGGCTTAGTATAAGGCTATACTTTGTTATACAAACTAAATGTTCATAGGTTTTTTATAGTTATTTAATTATTATTTAGTTTGTGGATGCATTCTCGAAATAAATCCGTATCGTATCGTAGTTGACGGTAAAATAAACTTAGATATATTGTGAGAGAGTCATCCATTAATCTTATTAAGGCTTCTTCGTCAAACTCAACACAAAATATTTTAAAGTTGCGACTATGCGACTATGAACGATAATTTATTACGAAAACTTAAATTATTATGTATTTACACTTCCTGAAAAATATTAAGACTGGTATTATTGTTACTAATTAATTCATTTGTGACAGCTTCATTAAGGTTTAGGAATTCACGCACATGTACCCAACATTTATTTGTAATTGTAAATCAACCTACTATATTTTAATATGCGGATATTTTTACATTTAATTCTCATGGAAGTCTTGTTTAATTTGTCCGTGTTTTTCCTAATCTTCTAATGACCGTTGATGTCATCTTTTTAAGTACGAACAAAATGTATAAAAAACATCACTTCTATTAATATCAGCAGAAACTCAATTTGAATTTATCTAAATATCGTTAATTATAAATGTAATATTTTATAGAAGAAGGGAGACATCGAAAACATCGAGTGGCTTCCGTATTCTTTTCCTTTAAAATAATTTAAATAAACCCTAATAATAATTCTTAATATAAAACAATTTACCGAGTACTTTTAATATAACCTACTATGGTTGCATTAGTATGTAATAAAGTAAAAATTGACAGTGTCAAAAAAGATTAAAATCATATTTTTACCTCCCCTTATAATGATGCCAATATTATTCTTTTCTTCAATATGTAAGAAAAATTAAGATTGTGCAATTGTATCAGACTTCTTTGTTTTTCAAAAATCGCCTTTTGAGATTTTGTTCTTCTCATAATCAATTCAATATTTTAAATATTTAGGACATCGATAAGTCTATCAACTATTTGTCTTCATTTTTTGTACTTAAATAGAATTTTTTGATTCTATTGGCTTTGAGACCGTAAAAATTAAATTAAAAAAAAATTAATAAGCTGCATACATATCACAATGCTTTTATTTTATTTCCTTTTTTTAGAAAAAAACTAAAACTGTTTCCCGTTACATAATATTTTTGTTTTCAAAGTTTTTTTACAAAAATATATTATATGCAAAAGAGATATTTGTATTTATAAAGTTCGTAACGCACAATACATATACATCATAGTTTCTCAAAATGTTGCTTTTCGATTTATAAAAAATTCTAAAAGACAATTTAGGGTCATATTTACGAAATATCGATTTGGATTTAAATTGAAGTTAAAAGTCACAAATAATATATTATTTAGTCTACTAAATACTTTTGTATGGATCTCCCTAATTCTCTAATTAATTCTCATTGAGCGTCATCAAACCAAAGTGGAATGGTCCAGAATATTCCATCAACGTATTGTGTAACATATAGTTTTACTTTTATGGAATGCAACTGTTTGAACGATAACTATATATACTAGTACCTACATATATATCGTGGATTGTGATCTATACACAATATAAAAACGAACGTTTCAAATTTAACCTTTCTATTGCTTATGTGACAACCTTTTGGTATCGCCTATTGTCATTTCTTATTCCATAGAGTAGGTTATATTACTATAATTGTTAAACTATTATAATTCGTTATGTTGTGTAGCATAACAAATGAAAATTATTTATTTATGTTAGCTCACTTTTATGTCCTTACAAAAATTTTAAGAATGTCGTTTTTTTACATTACAGGTCCAGAGAACTTATTAAGGGTGCTATTTTGGATAACGACTTCATGAAGAACTTAGAAATGACACAAATACGTGAAATAGTAGACTGCATGTATCCAGTTGAATATGCTGCCGGCAGCCTTATTATCAAGGAGGGAGATGTTGGCAGCATCGTATACGTCATGGAAGGTTAGTACGTTTTATATAGCGCCATCTAGTAGTCACTAGCGGAAATTCAAGACTTTGTAAAAAGTGACATCTAGCGACAAATATATGAACGCCACTTTAAGTGATATTTAGAATAACGTCTGCTTTAGAAAACAGATGGCATATGAAGCATATTAAAATAACTCATTTAATAATAAATAACTTTATTCTACATAATTAATGTAGAATATTATAAGATATTTAAAACAGCATTTAAATTTATAAATAAAAAAATATTCAAATCCAAATCAGTAGCGTTTATGAATATGCAATTATTCCATTGATATGACTTATAAACCTACATTGAGTAGGTCAGTTTTATTTAGAGACTTAATTTCTAGCGACTTCACGATATTAGAATAGTAAGTGCACTAACTCAACAATGAATCATGTTAAGATAGAAAAATCTTGACTGTATTGATGTCTTGTACGTGATCATTTTAATATATCATTTGCGTGTATATACATATTATATTATAAAAATAATTCTATAAAACGATATTTATTTAAAATAACATCATAGTGGATCAAGCTAGAACTTTCCCTATGAGAAAGCGGAAAAACTGCGAGCAACATTAACTTTTCCAGTGAGATGAATAAGGCGGTACAATCATGACGGTATACATAGTTCTTTAATAGAAACTAAATATTTCTTTTTAGTGCAATATTATTTTTGTTTTAGTCAGAACTTGAATATAGAATCATAAAGTTCCCATTATGTAATACTTAACTATTAATTATAGGACAAATCTAGTCATTGGAAAAGACGTAAAAAATGTTTTGTTTGTAAATTAAACAATATAAGTACTTATTTAAAACTAAAATACAATATTAAATTTTTAAGAATTGTTTTTATTAGATAGTTATTGAATAGGAAACTGCTTACTTTTATGTGTCATGTCTAGATTAATTATGAGAGATTTAATGCATTTAAAATCCATCATTTGCCAATCATATTTCGTATAATAATAATAATTATAGGAGGTTGTTAACATACATTGTACTTCGTCTTTCGAAACTGTTTGCAATTGATGCCTTACAACCTTGGATTTTTTCGCACCACAGTTCAGCTTAGGACGTACCTATTTGCAATCAGTTCTAGAATGCAAGTAATAATTACATTATTAAAAAATATGATTAAAGAATGTATCTAATCAAATTCTTTTTAAGAGTAATTAAAATTTTTGAATAATATTCATTAGTAATTCAGTATTAGTATTATACATTAAAAGTCGGAAGAGAAAGTGTTATATGTTAGGTGTGGTAATTAGAAGTCCTTTTATGGTGTCACTAGAGGGCGCTGACCTTAATAATTATTCCCTTACCGGATTACGTCATATTCTAGGCATATCATGTTTAATATAATATAGATAGCTAACGGGAGCCAAGGTTTCGATAGCAGGAACTTACTGTATTTAATCTCTTAAATTTATTTGAGTTATACATACATTGACAAGAATTTTAAATTAAACTTTTATATAGATCCTGTTTAAATTTATAAAATGTGTTGAATATTCTTCTGTGTCAGAAATTTTACGATTGTTTTTTTATTTAATTTATGCTCTAGTGGCAATTAAACTTCTTGATTGATTAATTGGGATGAATACGAGAACCTAAGTATAGGTATATGATAAAACTAAAAAACTTTTGTTACATTGAAGTAAGTTTCGTCTTCTTTCTAACTCTCATTTTGTTGCGTAAGTAACTATACGAATAATATATAAAGAAGTAATCGTTTGAATTTCATGAATTGAACTGAATTTATTTATTTATTTACCATATTGAAATATTTCTCATAAGCAATTTGTTTTGATAATAAAAAAAAGTCTTAAAATGGTACCTATCAATAGTTTATTTTGTGTATTATGATGCATCAGATACAACTATTGTTTCTTATTATAATTTAAAACACATCGAACACATTACAAAAGTTTAGCTACACCCTTGATACCTCCAGATAAATATATTACAAATATAAGGATAATTAGTTTTTTGACAATACACTAATAAAATGAACAGAAAGGAAGACAATTGACAATATAACAATAAGGAACCATGTCCTTAAATAATACTATTGACGTTTATGAGCTACAACTTTCTTTTTTTATTTATATATTTTTTTGTGCTAATGTAGGTAGTTTGATAATGAATTTGTTTTAACTAGTTTGTTCGTCTTTAGTGAAACAATTTTACTCAGCAATCGGTCTTTAAAATGTGATATTGGATGAGTTATATATCCTTATAATTATATATAACAAACTCTTCCATTGTGTATTCATCTCGTTATCAAAGCAGTTTTTTTTAAATAATCGTACTAACACGCACTTATCTTAGGAAGCATAAATAAGGCACGTCTATCGAATCGTTATCGATGAACCAAAAACCTTTTGACCTCACTAAACTACGTGACCATTTCAATAGATCATTAAATATTTTAATATAACAATACTGTTTCTTGTAATTCAACTTCCTTGTGATTCCTTTAAGGCAAATGTTTATTTGGGAACATAAATCTAATGATAATTCCTTTTGGGTGTTTCTTATTTCATACGTGATAGAAGATTTACTTTTAGTAAATAAGTTACTGAATGCAACTTTACCTTCGCTGCACTTATTTTTCGCCGTTTATAAAAATTAATATATATTTTTAAATGTTTACAAGGAATAGAATATAGCCTAAGATCAAACTGCATATATTTAATTCTTTATAACAATTACTAATAAACAAGAAATACTCATATTTATTTGGTTATCCTTTACATCTAATTTATTAAAATATATGTTAAAAGTCTTAGAATAAAATAAAGTCAATTAAAAAATAAAATGAAAATATTATGATTTCGTTATTTTTCTGCTGACATTAAAAATTTTTTTTTTTGTACATTACAAATTTACTTAAAATTATTACATATTTGTAAAGACCACTTTTTAGTATTATATTCATTATTTAAAATAATTCATACACAAAATGAGACTATGACACATTCAAGTATGCTGCTTATACCATTTTTTATATTTTCTCTCAAAACGGGATTCCTATGTATGTGCAGACGTACAAATAATTGTTACAATGAATGACATTTTAATGATGAACAGACAACAATAGTTATCAACGCTCAAAATCCCTTCTTATTCAGGACCACTTCCTTTAACAAAATGCATCTTTTGTTCTATTTATTTATTTATGTTTCAACATACAAGAAACCGTTCAAAATGTAATACGTCGGCTTACATGCCTCAAAATAAATTAACAAAGAATATTACTCCCTATTTCATCCATAAAGGTTCCTGTCAATCAAAATCAGCCTTACTATTGACAAAACGACTTTATACATCTAAATACACTAAATGCCACTGCATATAGATTTTATCTGCTATTAACTACTATTACAGATAAAGTACTGTTAAATATATAAAGATGTTTTAAATGATCTTTATTTAAAAAAAATACACATAAACTACACATAATTGGGTTCAGGGACAAAGAAATATTGCCAAACAAAATTTTATTATCTGAATCTACTGACTTCTTTAAAAATACAATAAACAATTTGAAAATTAAGGATATATTGTGAAATATCATTAAAATCCAATCAGTAGTTTTTACATGAATTTCTAACAAAACAACACTTATATTCAATCTCTACAAACTTTCGAGTTTAGTATATATGATAGATTATATTGTAGGTGTATTTATCTAAGGATAATTTTCTCGAGGGGGGGTAAGCAATTCAAAGAATTTTCAACATAACTTCAAGTGAATGAAGTTCTCATTATGGTACATCTATAACTGGAATACATTTCTATACATTCAACTGTTGTCTTTGTATAAACAGCAATAAAGATGAATGTTGTTTGTATTATTTTGTAAGCCGCACATCTTAAAGATAATTTTCAACTTGGTTCCACTCACTTAGTGACCAGGTTGGCCAACAATATGGCCTTAATGTCTATCAGTCGTTGAAAATCATTATTAAACTATTATTTTATTGCTACTATACAAAAAAATTATGAGGCTAGTATTGATAACCGTCACGATACTTATCAGCATTTAAATATTTTAAATTTATGTCAAAATTTCAATATTTAAAATGAAGTGCACAGAAAATATGTTAAAAAATTATAACTAAACAGCCATTGACAATTTAAGCCATAAAGAAATAAAACGTCTAAAGTAACGTTTCTTCACTATACTTATGTTTTATTCGTATTGGTATGAATTTCAAAACGCATGCAAATACTTCAGGTAAATAGTTTAAAGACTTTTCTTTCTCGCATGGCATTAATTTTGCTACGTTCTAGTAACTCGCGAAGAATGTTAGCTGAACAATTTGTAACGGTGTATTATTTAATGTTTTGTTTGAAAATAACTTAAATATCTAATTGGACGTGTAACATTGCAGTTTAAGAACGGCCATTAACAATATAATGGATATATGACGTGTAGCATCTAAGCATAGTCGAATATAACGATTGCTCAATGTGAGTAGTTTTAAAATCATATGTTATGTCCACAAAAAATATGATAGCAAAGTTAATGTTGACTGGTTCGTAGTTTAAAGTAATTACATTTACCTTTAGCTATATACATACAATCATATCGTTCAGCGAAGAATAACATTGGACAGTTTTTTTCGATACGATCATACTTGCTGTTAAAACTACGCTCCGTTTGTTCAAAATACATAAGATAAATGCACTTAATTGAACCATATTAAGGCCATTGCAAAGCTTACAAGTGCCTTAATGAATAGATGCTGTAAATACCGCCTATATTTGCTTATCACTGTCTGAGTCGTACAAACATGATAATAAATATATTATGTATAAGACTGCAATTCCAATTCAAAATTTATTCATATTGTAGTTATATAAAATATTATAAATAATAACCTTCAAAATATATCCGTGATTTGTGAAAGCGAAAACATGAAGCCTTGACCGCAGAGTAATTTACGTCACAGATGCGAACGAGGCTTCTTGATTATACTTTACATTTCTACTTTTACCTTTAGATGTTGATATTTCATGAATTTTAAATCCAATCATTTAAATAACACTGAATAAACAGGAGATACATTCATTTACATCTGATAAGTAGAATAAATTGTGCGATAACAACACACCTCGACAACTATCAAACTACATATTTAGAGAAACATATAAAGTGGTCAATCTGTGCAATTCTATAACATTATTAGTATTACTTTAAAGATATTAAATTAATTTAATCTCTATAACATCTTATTATGTTTTAAGTCAGGGTTTCACAAAAGAAACAAATGCATTTTCAGATAAGATGTATTATTATATAATATATAATATGACATATTAAATATTAAAAAAGAGACTATTTAAACTACTGATCCTAGCAATTAATACGACTTCAAAATTAAATTGTTTTTATTCATACAGAGAAGTTTATAATTTCCTCATAATTTATTGAAAATTTCACATGTCTTTTATCCCTTAATTATAAACGTAGAGCTTCTTATTTTATAGTATCGCTCTAAGTTCTCCATTGGACTTTATTTATTGCTTTCCATTTTTCACTACTTTCCATTCCATCCGGATTTTATTATAAGTTACGTAACCATGGTAGCATAATTAGTTCCGTCATTTGCATTAAATAGTTAAAACTGTCCGTCAATTCCAATGTTAACTTTCTAGAATGGTTTAAGGAATCGGTTTGCTTTTAGAAACACCTCAAATATTTACATGAGATAAAACATCCATGTGAACCTTTTCGACTTTTGTTATTTTTTATGAAATAATCATGTTAATCTTATCATTTGACAAATGTTGAATCGTTACTAAATTTAAATTACAGATAATAATGATTATCATAACGCAAGAGATGACAATTATTGTTTCTTATATTAATATTATCTTATCTTGTACTAACTTAAATTCTGTATTTCGATTTTATTTTTGAGAGACACTATGTCTATTGTTAAGGTCATAGAGCTTTCAACTTCAGGTATAAATATTGTTGTTTCATTTTCCCTCTCGTTCGCACACATCAAAATATACGTGCGCAGGAGTTGATCAAGATCCCAGTAAATCAGTAAGCGGTCCGACGCTACCGTGATTGGACGTCGCATGATTGACTCGCGTCGCTTTATAATATGTTTTAAATAGTTTTTAATGATATTTATTGTGTATAAGTTTTATTTTTATTGTTTAAAATGCTTAAAATGACGTAATCAATGGATATGTATTGTAAAGTGCAGTGATGTGTCAAGGTGATATTTTTCGCGCGATCGGCAGCTGTCATTACAAAATTTTTCGATGTATATTAAATGTCTAATAAAAAGCTTGGATTACGTACATCCGTTAATGCCACAACGGTATTATGTTACTGTTCCCAACAAAGGATTTAATCGTCTTGCTTTTAAGATAATAACAAAAAGTTGACAAATAAGGTTTAACCCAATGACACAATTGGGAAAGTTATGATGGATAGAATGTAATATCAATGTTAAATTTAATATTGCACTCGTGTAATGCTCGCGTGCATTATCCGAATGTATCGTGAAAGTATTTTGGAGCGCTGTCTTCACGGTGAAGATTTTAGCATATTAATGTTCAAAAGTTAAGCTTTCTACTCACTTTCAGCCTAACTGTGACATAAGTTTGTTTTGATACAGAACCTGTTATATTTTTATGGAACACTCGCTTTGTACGTTTCCGGCTAATTAATATAAATTATTATAGATATAAGAAGACTGTAACACTTTCAACTATAAATAATAAATTCACAGTAGTGATTATATTAAGAACAGCAATAAGTATAATTTTTTACTAAATCTTTGATAGAAAACTCGATCGCATAGTATAAACAACGTCCCATTGGAATTAGAAAGTAATGATGTTATCAAAATAATCCAAAGCTGAGATTTCGTGTTATACTGGTTCTTATGACATGATAACAATAATAATATCATTTCATGATATAGAATTGTTTCTATAGAAAGCAGCTTTGTTATGGTTTATAATTTAGAGCGATTGCAATACGTTGGGACTTGGGGTCCGACAAGTCTTTGTTTATTAATGAACCTTAGTTAGAGTTAATAGAAACCATTAGTTTAAACCCGCTCGTTAATATTCCAAATATTAAGTAGTACGCCCCAAGTTTTATCTTTTATGCTGCTTTTATATATTTTTCAGTTTCTTAATTTATTTTATGTTTATTTGTAAACACACTAGAAAATCATGTATAGATATTGAAAGTTCACAAAGATATATATTTATACACATGAAGGCGTGCTTATCGCGTCAAGGAAAGACTATTATTATTATTAAAACTAAATGGTCAAAAAAAACTTATGATAAATTTACAACCGAATAAGTAAATGAATTTTTTATATGCATTTTTTTTGTAACATTCTCGTTCAAATAAATTAACATATAAATATTCATAATAAGCATATATGCTATAAATATTCATAATAAGCATATATTTATATAATAAATGAAATAAAAATATTTTAATTTAATTCTTGTCAGTAAAGGAGTATTCAGAACATAAATTTTATATAAGGAAAGCAATTCTTTATGGGTACTCAACTAAAGGCTGAAGTGAGCAGAGTTTGCTAATGAATTATATTGTTACATCTGCGCATGACAATTCGTGACTCATTTTGTTTATTGATATTATTATTAATTGTTCCGGTACTATGTCATGGAAATCAGAAAGAACTTTTAAGTCGGTCAACATATTTTTTTAAGCAATTGATAATATAGTACAGGCAAAGGCTTTAAGACTGATACCTAAATGTCAATTAATAGTAATCAAGCTATAAATTGTGAGAAATACTTATGTTCTATTTAAGCTATAAATTTTAAACATATAGTAAAGAAAACTGGTGTTTTCACTTTCATGCTTCAAGTGTGTTACTCGCTTTTTATCAATGTCATTGTTTCATTTCTTCCTAATAGTAATTAATATAACAATGTCATACCAAGCGTAAAGTTTTGACAGAATAGAATACAAAAAAAGGATCATAATAAATAATCTTAAAATCTATTGACTTAAATTTTTCTACGACTAGCGACACAATTATAAAGATTTGAGATCTATGAATATAATTGAAAACTGTTACAAATATTAAACAGTACAAAGCGTTATCTTTTATTCTTATATTTACGATCTTAGTATATTTTTAACCATAAATATCATTGTAAGTTAATCAGATGTAACATAAAGGAAACTAAAATAACAAACGTTATGTCCAGAAAAACATTTAAATGAAATAAAATATACTTCTTAAAAACCAAGAGATAACCGTCCTTTCAAGAAAACTATCTGATTATTGGCACCCACTTGACAAGACAGTAATATACGAGTACAAATGATAGCTTTCATTTTGCCAATTATTGAAAAGTAATAAGATGTATCCCGATTCAGAAGAAATTAGTTATTAATGAGGTCGTAAGATTTCTCAAGTTCCTTCATGTATCGCCCGTTCGCTGCATATGTGGACCGATGAACTTGTTTCAACTCAATCGGTTGGAAATCGTTTTCTAGTAATTCGATCATGCGTTCAATAATTAACTTTAATTTACAACTACTTATAATTGTGATGATTGAGGATTTAAAATTAAAAATCAATTTAAGGATAATACAGTCCATTGTTCTCTCACATTTGTATCACACAAAGAACTAATAAAGGATTTAAAATATTTTTTGTGTACTTTTAATAAACGTTGGTACTTCTGTTATAGATAGAGCCCTACGTTGCGCTAATATGTAAAATATAGTAGCCAATTTATTACTTGATACTAGATGGTTTATGGCATCATTTCATACCAATCTTTCATTAACATCCGAGATGGAAAATAAACTAAACAAAATTCACCATTTACTACGAGAAGCCCATTTAAACATTAAAACACATTTTATATCTTTAATGCATTTGATACTCGTGTCTTGGGTAAAAGAATCTTATACCCTATTATTGTAAGGTTTTACGGTAAATATGTGGGAAAAAATAATTGTTGTGTATTTTGAGTGACGATGCATGTTACAAAAGTTTAAATTATTTATATTTTTCAAAATGAAGTAGCAATCATTAGATTAAAATAAATATTTTAAACCTATTTTATTTAATAATAAAATATATACATATGTATCTTGAAAGTGCATTTTATACAATATCAAATGTAAAAAACAATATACAGTCGATCCATTATCTAATTATTACGTAATGCAGTTTACATTTGATGGACTCTTAAGACCCAGTTATTTCCTCATGGCGTTGGTGCAATTCGCGCTCTCAGACCGTAACGCCACCGTTCTGATGGTCTTATATTTAGTTTCACTAGTGAAATATATTTTACAACTTGTTATATATTGAATTTTATATAGTTCTTTTACGTAGTCATTAATAAAATTATTCGCACGTGATCGATAAAAGAATCCTTGAATAAAATTAACATGTGTTTAAAGAACTGTAACTTCACACCTTAAATGTGTGACATATTTTATTACGTACGATTTAAATGCTTTCTATTTATTTTACCAGAGATCAATAGACCTACAAATATTTATATGTGTTTAGGACTCAGTTTTTAATAAAAAGGGTTATTTATTATTATAGTCGTTTTATAGAAAATAAATTTTATTTGATTTGAACTTACACTTGATCTATTTTAACGTACTTATATAAATAGATATTCTAAGTAAGGTTATAAATGAATACTTTTCGGTATATAATATTGTTGTGGCATAAAATCAAAATGTTTCTTTGTTAATCCAGATATCATAGTTCAGTTTATATCTAAATAAAAAAGTTGTTTGGAACTTTGAATGAGTGATTACAAGATGGGTTCAGTCTCTTCCTTATTTTATTTACTTTCAAGAAATTGCTTCCAAAGTTACAAGATTGATATGACATTGATGGACTTAAAAACATTATGAAAATTAAACATTACCCTGGAAAAGCGGTCATGGAGGACCCGTGGCTTTCAATCAACGATAGAACTATGGACCTTGTTTATGCAGCCAATTGGGTTGGAGCCAATAATTTAAACAATCATAAGGAAGAATACAGCCAGGATAGTCAATCCAGATTTAATTCGATATCTAGAAGCAAATCATGTAGAGATATTGGTAGAAATTCAAATAAAGATGACGGTGAATTACATGCATACCATGAGCAAGAATACAATCACAATCAATGCACTAACAATGAAAATATATCTCAATTAGCAAAATATCAACAAGTTATAGAAGAAAAAGCACGGACAAATGACAATTTCCTCATACAAAATAAAATTAAACATAGCTATAGTTTTAAAGATATGCCAAATGGATATAAACCTTCAACATTAAGACGGGTTAAAAGACGCAACTTTACTGAATGGGATATTGAAGCGTTTGGTCCAAATGATCGTCAAGCTCCTGTTCCACCTCAACGAAAAGACTCACATAAATATTCACATCGTCAAAGGAAACCTGACTCAAAAAAAAATGGTTACCCCCTCCCAGACCCTGGGCCATTGCCCCCTGATCCATCATCAGAATCATATTATGAATATTACTCCAGAGTTAGTCAACAAAATAATGACACTGATAGTGATAAAATTAAACTAATGCAAAAAGAACCAAAGAAAGATAGTGGAAATTCAAAATCATATGGATCAGCGCGTGGGTATGGAAATGATACGATGTATCAAATAATTAATTCAATGGCAACCTTAGATTTAACACCTATAAAATCTAGAGCGGGAAGTAAAAACCTCGACACGGATAGCGAAGCGGAAGATTTGGGTTTATATATGCATCCTATTAATGAATCGTTATCTACATGCGAGCAACTTCCTGAGCGTAATACACAACCTGAGAACGTTAGGAACGGACGTATGGACGATGTGCGACCTAATTTTCGTTCCAAATCCATGAGAGTGAAAAGTGAGGGACGCACGCCTCTCCGGGCATATCTTGATACGGTTGAAGATGAAACCAAAGCATATAATGGTGTTACCGTCACTCAACCGAAAAGGAATTTATCACCAAGCGAACAGCTGACGCTAATGCAGCAAAACATGTATCAAGAAAGCCAACTAGCACCTGTCCCTGCCACCGGTAACGGATTTCACTCCATGGATTTAGGAAAAGAAAGCGATTATCGGACTAATAACAGTGTGTCTAGACAAATTAAAGTCGATAAATATGGGAAGTTATACAATACGGTGAGAGTGAAAAGTGACGATAGATACAATAGATATAATGACATTCTGTCATTTTCATCTCGCGATCGTATTAGTGAAGATCGTGTGACTAATGGTGTGTATTCAAGAAGTGCTAAAAGTTCCTCTAGTGGGTCCGATTCAGACTTTTCGATTCCTCGACCGAAACTCATAGTTCCCGTTCACACTTATGGCACTCGAAAACGAAGAACCGGAAATCTCTGTCAAAGAGAGAGTAATGCGACGGAATCATCTTTAGATGCTGGTATATTACTTGATGTTACACGCTTAGAAGACAAATCCTCGGAAAGTCAAAGAAATGCAGATTCAGGTGATTTTTTTTATATACGTGATATCTTCTAAGTTATATATCTTATCTTTATCATGTGATTAGCGTATTTTTAGATGTTGTCACGTTGATTGATGGACGTAAAGGTTAACTACATCACCGTTTGCACCTTTTACTTTGCAGTAACAGAACGTACATATATATTTTTTTACTTTTTAAAATGTATCTGTTCAGTTAACATTTATTATTAACTCTTTTAGTCAAATTATAAATTTCTATTTCATTTCATTATACTAGAGCTTCTCGTGTCATATATGTCTATATCAAATGATGACACGAAGTTTTGATTTCTCACGATTTCAATAAGGTTACTGTCATATTTTATAATTGTAAAATAAAATTAATGAAATATTTGATGTTACTTAAAGTATACGACTAACTTTCATATTCCAAGCGTATTTATTATTGCTTGCTCCAATTTCTAACCACGACTTTTGGAATATCAAACTGATATTAAACATGTTGAATAGGAAATGTGTAATACACAGTAAAACACGATACCATTTTTATACTCCAATCATAAATATGTACTGAAACATTGATATCATAGTAACTGTTTACTTGAAAGTGCACTAATTGTAAACAAAGAACGCTCGTGACTTGTATAAAACCATTTTGAATTTGCCATCTTTATGTAAACGCTTGTTATTTAAATTCACTTTTGCTTTAAATCCGTCGATTTAAGCACTTACAAATATACTCGTACTATTAACATAATTTATTCCAAAAACTTAATTAAATATAGGATTTGACACTGTTTTGTGTACCCATTACAATAATTTATCATAAGTTATTTAAATAATTCAATAACATAATTTTCAAATGTTATGCGAAGATACTCAAAGCGATTGTTTATATCGAAACAATAGTAAGGTAGGTTAAACAAACAGGAGTAATTAAATACAATATAAAACAAATATTTCTTCAATTCAATAATAAATGGAAACAAAGAACGCGGCACTTTGTACTCTTTGTTATAGTCGTTAACTGATACAGTAATTTTCTACTATGATAAGTAAGAAATTTTATCAAGATATTTCATTATATATGCAACCATTATGTCGTATACCATAAACGATGTAGTTTTAAAATACTATGCATAATTTAAGTATGTGTATTAAGTATTTTAGGGGTTCAATTTCGAGAATACTCATCGCGGCACTAAACGTTATATAAAATCTCGTTATTAACATTAGAGACACTCGTATTAAATGTCTCATATTTCTCAAAAGCCACAACATATCTTGTTACGTGTTTACTAAAGTTGAAACTGTGCAATATCCCGTCAAGTTCTCTAATGAGACCACTTGTGACTCACCAATGAGTTGGATTAACCTTGAACATTTATGGCTAAAGAATATGTGGAACTATAGTCAGTTTATTGTGCAGATTAATTACTATTAGTTATGTCGAATTTATTAATGTTACAAGATTAACTTTTAACTATTACTAAACTGATAATATAATATTATTATGAGTCATGTCGTTTTGACATTTAAGTATCATTACCTTTATAAAATTTATGAGTTTTATAATGAATTAATAATGTCGATATTTACCATATGACATGATTGCATTTGTAAATATTTAAAAGTGGTATTAAAACTTACATAATATGTAGTGTCTGAAATAAATTAATAAATGAACGACTTCAGAAAAAGAAAACACCTTTCGTCATTTTAAACTCACACACTTTAAAAGTCTCTAGTTCTTTTATTATAAAAATCTTAAAATATAAAACAAGATAAACATTTTTTTTAATAGTCACGATTTTAAGATACAAGTTTTTTATCGAACACGTGCAAAGATTAAAGAAGTTGTTTGACTGATTTTAATTTTGTCTACAGAGGGAAGAGTGGAAGTATCACGGGAGAACAAATACCTTAGCACTATGGCACCAGGCAAGGTATTCGGAGAACTGGCAATACTATACAATTGCAAGAGAACTGCCACCATCAAAGCCGCTACCGACTGCAGGCTCTGGGCCATCGAGCGCCAATGCTTCCAGACAATTATGATGAGAACTGGTCTCATCAGACAGGCTGAATACACTGACTTCCTTAAGAGGTAGGTTCTAATGATTAATATTTTTTGTGGATAAGCAAAAGTAAATTATACGTTATATTTTATAAGAATCGATATCATTAATGGAGAACCGTGATATTTTATACTCCAGTAATTGCCTATTGTTTTATTTAGTTCAGAGTAAACGTCAATTAGATTGTTTTCTTATTAAGTGGATCCTAATCAAAGCTTACATTTTCCATTCACTCGGTACTTCAAATTGTAACCGTTTTGGCAACATCACCCACGTTTATTATATTTTTATTTAATGATCTACGTTTATCCAAAATAGCGACATATACGGATCCCACGCGTAATTAAGAGAATATGTACATTAATGAAGAAACCCAGTACTTGTTTATGTACATTTTTATTCTGTAAAAATGAAACTGTTTATTTTTAACACCACGATTCACGTACTTTTAAAATAAGGTATACATCATCGGTCAACAACTTTCGTTCCAAATCTGTAATCATGAGTTATTTTTGTGGCTATTCGAAGTTTCTTTTATTGGTTCGAGTTGTTTATGCCTTAGAGTCCATAAAGTTCGGTAGCGTTTGGAGGAGCAGTTGTTAATATAAGGATTTTTTTATATTTTTTACTGTCTACTATTAATTTTTTGTTTTACGTACAGATTTTTTATATTTTTCGGTAACAATCGAAAAAAAATTGTGTTCTTTTATTTTCCGCGGTGAAGTCATAACAGGTATTTGGAAAAAAAATATATATTGTCAGTATGCACTTAACAAATAACAATTCTACAATCGGAATATAAATTATGAATGAACAAGAAAACTAATTGCAAGATCAGACAGATATTGTGTTTTACTTTGTGAAGATATATGTTTGTAGAAGAAAGGATATTGACCCGAGGCACTTATGCAAATTCAATGGGCTGAGCGACGACCTATTCTTATGCTTTCAACGGGCGGCACTCAAATTTGTACATTTAATGTACTCAAATAGCTTTTACTGTAATATAAATATCAAATCATCAAATTATACTGTTAACAAATAGTCTTAAGAATGATAATAATGAACTGATAACGAAAAAAACAATAAAAGCTGCATGCATTTTTTTCTTACGTAAATACACTTTCGAAGGAACCATTAAATTATCGGCTTAAAAATAAATGTTCCAAACTTGTACGAGACACAGTGATGTAAAATTTGTACAAAATAAGAAATGCAAGGTAGCATACAGCTTGCATAAGAACTTTTGCAAAGCTGACCTCATGAAAGCATCCTTTCTAACACGAAAACGAATTGACATTCCTGTCGTACGTATTCCAAGATTTTATACAGAACAATTGTAAAACAAGATTGCCTAACGTCTCGTGCGATACTTTGCGAAATACTTTGAAGTTTGTCACATTGAATAAGATTTTAGTCAATCCTTTCACTGGAACAATAATTCAGGAAGGCAAGCTATGGCCTAATCATATATATAAGTAGGTTAAAAATTAGAAATTGCATTACTCCCCTACTACGTGACTTTTATAAAATAATTAGCAATTTGATACAATCAATTAACATTATAGAGGTAGACTGCAATAAATACGAATATGAAACACGTATGCCATATACTTCGTCATACATGACTGACCATCGATGTCTATCATAACATTTTATGTACTGCGATTGCTCATAAGTCGTAGCCTTCTGTTAAGCAACTATTTACGTAAGTGCTGAAATTAAATACGACCGGTAATTACATAGCAATATCGTTGCTAATTAAATATATCTATGTAATATAACCAAGTGCAAACATAAAATACAAGATAAATATAATCCCAATAAAACTATAAACGCGAATAATTATGAACATGTATGCAATAAGCATGTTGTTAAACGTTCATTTAAAAATCATTTACAAGTAAGCGAAATTTATATGTATGTAGAATATATTAAAATTATTTTAATGTTGTTTCATAAAGCCTTTAACTTCGGATTGCGTAGGTGAAACTGCATGAAGTATAACGCCTTGTTGTGGATATATTTTATACTTCCTAGTAATAACATTTTTTCTTAAACTATGTTGTTTATATTTTGATGTTGTTGTTTAAATATTAATCTGTCTCTTACATCATTTAATAACAGAGTATTATGTTGCGTACACACACTTGTGTAATTTAGTTTGATAAAATGAATGCTTCATTGACGAAATCTTAAGTTGTTTTGTTCTACTTATGTTCAGAACTTTATCTCGTAATACGATGAAAGTGGTGTTAAAAGAAGTGTTTTATATTTTTTATTATCAAAACACAAATGCTTTATAGAAACATAAAAAAAATCTTATCTGCAACTTTATTGTTCTAGCGGAACGAATGTACAATTTTCCGCCATTTATACAAGTGACACTCATCTTTTGTCTACTCTTTAATAATAATAAAACTTCTGTCTCCTCGCGTGCTGTATCAACATAAATTCCGCAATATATAATTTAACGATAACCTCATACTTACACCTTAAAACTACCTCTGATGAAATAAATTGATTACACTTGCACTTACTATATATATTTACCGCACTATTCTCAAAGAGAACATAACGTTTCACGCTTCTCAAATTGTCTCTGACCAATAAAACAGCGACACACATTTAAATAATTGTCACGCATCGGAAAGTCGCAACCTCTACAATTGATTTCGTTTAAGCTTAGTATACGTGCTTACGGTATTATATTGCCTATATGGAAAGAAGAAGAAACGGACATTTTAATTGAACTTAAAATGCCTGTCATAATTGGAAAAGTGTGTAAATATGTAATATGACTCTCAGTTTCGGCTGAAAAACGACCGATTTTTATTTACCTTCGATTAAAATAGAAGTTTGAATTAATTATGCTATGGACAAAGGCCTCTAACGAAGCCTCGGGCTTCAGCTAGTTTGATATAGGATTTATCGGTCAACACTCGCTGACCGTGAAAATAGGAACGTTCAGACATTGATCGTTCACACAGAAGAAAGTAATTAAATTATTCTCTAGTTATTGCCGCCAGACCAGTTTCGAAAAAATAGCATTATTTTGATTTAAATAAATTGCCTTGCATTAAATATATTCTTCTCTGATATTTAAGATTGTAGCTAAAATCCGGTTATTTTATATTATAGTGTCCAAAAATGAAGTAGGAACCTAAATAAGTCTTCGCTAATCCTTAAATGGTAAGAAAATACGGTGCAAAAAATACTTTATCAATGTTAATTAACAATTTATTGGTTTATAATTTGTCTGACATAGATAATGTTAATGATTTAATTTTAGCTTAAAATTATGTTGCATAAATACAAAATAAAGCTTTTAAACTTGTTTAGTGTATTTATTATTTGTGTCTTTGAGCATTAAATGATATTGACTATAATATTGTAGTATAGTAACACCCTTATTTACAGTCATTGGTATTATTTCGTACATTAACTAAATAACTCCGCTGAAATACTTTCATATCAAAGGTTCGAAATGAAATTGATTACAACTTAAATTGAAATTGCTACTTTATTTGACTTAATAGAAACAGGTTAATTTTCATTTTAATGAATTGATCATTGAACGAACGATTTGAAATGAAACTTCCTCTATTAATGCCCTAATTATACTTGATACAGAAACTTGACAAACAAGTTAAACATAAAACATGACTTACATTTAATGCCTTTAGGCATTAAAAAGTCAATAATAACACTAATACTTAATCGTTTTTAATAGTTAAAAACTATTTCAATGCTAATTTAATATGACATTTATGTAATGTTGCAATAGAAAATCGTAGTCGTAGTAATGACTCCATAGTTTGAGTAATTCAAATAAAAATATACATTTAATACAATTATAACTTCACTTATCTAGTCATTTTCAAGGAAATATATGTTACTAACAGCTGTTTCTTACATTATTGTATATTTACTCAATAAAACGGTAAGACGAAATCTGATAAAAATAACATATTTCTATATAAATATGAAAGTCGTTTCTTTATTTCTTTGTTATTTGTTCAAGTCTCCAGTTATTAAGGATTTGTTATATACATATTTATTATTTCTCTATAAAAATAAATAACACGATGAAAATAGACTGGAATAAAAAACATACAATACCCAATTATACAAGCCTTAGACTGTTATACAATAAAACGTAGTATGTAATTATATTTAAAGTATAACATGACACGCTATAGGAAATATCTTTGCCTAGAACGTTTCCTCTTTATCAAACTCAAAATATGTAACACAATCAATAACATTGTATTTGAAAAGTGATATATGTCAGAAGAAGCATTAACACTTCTGCTATTTTATTACAGTGTACCCATCTTCAAAAACCTTCCCGAAGACACCCTTATCAAAATATCAGATGTATTGGAAGAAACACACTACCAAAATGGCGACTACATTATTAGACAGGGAGCTAGGGGTGATACCTTCTTCATCATATCAAAGGGACAAGTAAGTTATTCTTAATTGTAATGTTACATCTGCCCCACGTTTTAGCAATTATATTACTCTGACTATTTATACCTTTTCTATAGAAATACATTCAAGATTATTAACATTCCGTTATTACTTGTACGGCAATTATATAATTCTTGAATGTTTTAAGGATAAATTGTAGTAGATTATAGGTATCTTAAATCAATGTCGTTCATACAAAAATGGTATTAAAATATCATTATGTAACGAGAACAGCTGAACTTTCAAGGTTCGAACAGCGCAAGCTAACATTTCGTTGGTAAATATTCTTTGTTTTGTTTTCATTAAACAATTTGTATAGCGTCATCGGCTTTTGACGTACATAATAGCGACCGTGTATGTAAATGTTGATTTACAAATAAGTAATCAATAAAATTTTTGAAAATAATGTAATAAATTATGATAATTTAATGTTAATGTTTTTAGAATATGATGTAATAATATGAAAACTTTTATATCATCATCATTATCATAATCTTGATAGCAAAAACCTCCAATTGCATCCGATAATGAAGTCATTATTAAGATGATTTTGTCTTGAACTTCTTGTCATTTCACTTATGATTTATTTCGATGACAATGTTAGTAAGTTGACGGTAATCTCTAAACAAGTCGAGTTTCACTTTCGAGAAGACGCGCCACTCGTACCGCGACTTCATGTTTTTTAAATAGATACACGATTCGTTTCTCATCTTTCATTTTTGATATCATACTGTAACATTTCATACTTAAGGCGTATCGTGCGAATTATATAGAGTTTCTCTTTATAATTATCTTTAATATTTGATTTAAGTCTAAATCTGTCTACGGTTTTTGATAGGAATTTTTAATGACGATAAATTAAACCAATGATAAAAGCGATTAATGATGGTTGCGGTTTAAAAGCATCTTTATGGGAGGTGACATTAAATATGAATTATGCCCCTAATACATGTTCCCTTTTGTGTTCGACTTTGATATTACTTATTGTCCGCGTAGAAACGGTGATTGTAGTATAAGTAGTTCACCTTGGCATTTGAGCCAGCCTCGATACACTGCACATTCAAACTTAAATAATTTGCAATTTTAAACTGTTGCTGGCATTAAACATATTCTTTAAATCTCTTCTTAATTTAATCTTTATAAATGTTTTAAGTGGACATTTTAAAAGGTACAATATAAAAATCAAATACCAATTTTCATAGAATACTAATATAAGATATTGGGAAACAATATAAAACATAGGATTGATAGGATTGATAGCCCTAAAGCTACTTATTTAAATTGCTTATAGAAATATGTAAATCTTACTTGATGTGTAAATGTTTGAAATAGTCATTGGCTGCAAAGGCCATAGGCTATTGTGCAGACAAGGTCAGCGCACGGGCGAGTTAGGTCAAAAGTACTAGCTTTTAATAACGCATCGAAATGAAACAGCATAAAAATAATGATGAATAGTAATTAACGAAACACTTTCAAAGAGAAAGAGAAAAATTTTACATGTATAATGTGTAAATTTTAATTATCAACGGTTGTAATTATTAAAGATTTTAATATTAAATACATACATAGTTTATTATATGAATACAATAGAAACAACTGTATGAATGTTATTAGCACGCTTGACACTAGAAGACGAGAACAAAGACACCATTTGTTTAAGGTCACATTTTTGTAATTCTGGGAAAAAAATATCATTCATTTTGTAACTCCACATCGCACCTTTGAAACAAAAAGGCCGTTATCCAAAATATGTTTCAGTTTTGCCGTTCCACACATTGTAACACCTTTTTATGATGCAATAAGTGGACTATTTTATATTTATGGTCTTTGAATGTTAATAAATTTTATCTTTTCTTTGTGTTATAGAAGTATTATTCTTCAATTATTAAGTGCTTAAGAAATTTATATAAGCAAAAGTATCTAGTCTGTGTAATATAAAGTATATTATTTTAAAGTATAATTGCTTTTATGTCAGGTTTGGTTGCAAAATGTATTATTTACGATACAATGATATAATTGTTATACAAAGCCGGATGTGTTCGTCGGGTTCAGGTTATAGGAAAAAATTACGTTTTTTTTGTCACTTACTCAGACGGCGTATCGTTAGTTTATTTTCAAACGAATTTTGTTATTGAAATTTAAATTTATTATTTTGCGTGAGATTTTTTTTTCGCCGGCTATATTTTATTACAATCCTATTACATTTTTAATGTTATGTATAAATAGCGTTAAAAAGAAAGATGCTTAACAAAAAGTGAAAGCCTCATTGCTGAAATTACGAGCTCTTTCAAATAAATTACATTAAATTCAACCAAAAGGAAAAGTAACCGCAAATGCTTGTTAAAAACGCCAACGCGCTGTCGTTTTTCTTTGCGTTTAACTGTTAAATAACAGGCTAGTGATAGTTTGAGTTATATCATAGTTATCTAAATTTTTTGTTCGAGATTTAGTTTATCCAATAATTAAGTGGTCTGGAAATAGTTAACTGTTTTGTATGTCATAGTAAACGCGGCTAGAATATAATAACAACTTCTACATTGAGTAATAATACACAATATAATTCATTTCGACATTAGTTTCAGTAATACTTTACGTGAACAAGATTGTGTCACGATTGCATATCGACATTGTTTGATGTTAATGTTGTCATTTATTATTTTAACAGATATAATTAATAATTATACTTGTTATTTTGGAAAATATTATTACATATATTTTCACTTGAATTATAGTTACTTTTGATGAAGACACGATGTTATCTTGTTTGTAGGTCAAGGTAACACAGAAGCAGCCAAATAGCAACGATGAAAAATTCATAAGAACTCTAACGAAAGGTGATTTCTTTGGGGAAAAGGCCTTGCAAGGGTATGTATATACTATATAATAAACAATTCTATCACATCATACTTCGAAAAATATGATTTATTAATATAATAATGTTATTTCTTTTTTTATGTCTTCGTGTAGTGTAATCTGCATGCACGTATGGTTAATATCAGTTAACAACGTAAATCAAAACTGCTAATTTTTAAGTACTTACTTATTATGTAAATCGTTATATCCCAACTAATTAGAAGTAAAAACTTTCTTTACTTAGGTTAACGGTTCAAACTTATCACAAGCAAAAATATATCTCAACCTTTTTAAAGATATGACGACACCCATAGGGATCTTTAAGACAATTTTCCAGTATAGACTTATAATAATTAAACTATTCATAATAATTTCCTATGTATAATACGTTATTAATTTCAGAGATGACCTCCGAACAGCAAACATAGTGTGTGACTCCCCAGATGGCACCACATGCTTAGTAATAGACCGGGAGACCTTCAACCAGCTTATCTCGACGCTCGATGAAATACGCACCAAGTACAAGGATGTTGGCGATGACAGGCAGAGGTGAGGCTGGAAACAATAATTTATAATCAGTGTGACTCATATAAGAAATTCGTAATAGTATTAGGAATGACGACTGACTGACTTAACTATACATAATATTTAACAAATTTAAAAATATATATTTTACATACTTTTGTTCAAAGTTTTAAAATGAATTTAATATATTAAAATCATTATAATATTTTTTTAATTATGCTTCATATTTCAAAAACCACACGGCTACTTCGACAAGCCATTTGTCACAGTAACAATAGATTTCACAAGAATTCAACAATACCATTGTTACTATTATTTTGAAACTTCGATACTATTTTTGGTAGCCTTTGTCTTATTATAATACGTTCAATTTATGTTTATGCTAACGTGGACTATGTTTACGGTAAGTAATTAACATTACACAAGATATCATTATAGCAGACGGTAGGTATAAACAACGATGCTACTTACAGCTCGAAATAAAGATGAAATAACAATACCATATCCAATTCCATCACAATTCCTTATTACATGTAAATAAGCTCCCTTGTATTTTTTTATTTATTTCGCTAGAAATGAACTTATACAATATTTCAAAGAGTGCACATAATTTTCTTTGAGATATTTGGTTTTCATCCGGCATCTTAACTATAAAAATATGTTTATATAGATTTAATTTTTATATCACATATTATTATCTTCGCAAATGATAATGTAGTATGCAATTATATCGCAATGAATAACTTTCGCTATCACTTCAATGAGAAGTAAATCTAAGACAGGCTATTAACTGTCCTCTGGTATAGAAAATAAACTTTTTATTAAAAACCATTAAATATGACATATTGTTTCCCGCGGTTTTATGTTAGTATTGTAAACAAGAAAACAATGTTCTCGGTAAAGCTAAGTATTGATTAGGTGATCTTTTAGGAAAGTTTATTGTGATACTGTTCATAGTATTATAACTAGTATAATTCATAAAAGTAGATGTTTTTCTTGTACATTATATACTCCTAACTTGCATTGTAAATTGGAATAATAATTTCAGGCTTAATGAAGAGTTCGCAAACTTGCGGCTATCAGACCTCCGCATCATAGCTACCTTGGGTATTGGTGGTTTTGGTCGGGTGGAGCTTGTCCAAATCCAAGGAGATTCCAGCCGATCCTTCGCCCTGAAACAAATGAAGAAAGCCCAAATCGTTGAAACCAGACAACAACAGCATATAATGTCGGAGAAAGAAATCATGTCCGAGATGAACTGCGAATTTATTGTGAAGCTTTATAAGACGTTTAAGGATAGAAAGTATCTGTATATGCTAATGGAGACATGCCTTGGTGGAGAATTGTGGACAATCTTGAGAGATAGAGGTATTTATATTGTTTTAATATGTGAGCAATAGTCAATAATCGTATATAAAAAATAATTCTTACTGTGTTTTATTCCAGGACAATTCGATGATTCCACTACTAGATTCTACACAGCTTGTGTGGTTGAAGCGTTCCACTATTTACATTCTAGAAATATAATCTATAGGTAATTAATACCTGCCCCACAATAATATATGTATATAATTTGAACAGCAAAGTTGTAATAATAATGTTATTTTAGGGATCTTAAACCAGAGAACTTACTGCTTGACTCCAAAGGCTACGTGAAGCTAGTGGACTTTGGTTTTTCGAAGAAACTACAAGCGAGCCGAAAAACTTGGACTTTCTGTGGAACGCCGGAATACGTTGCTCCAGAAGTCATTATGAACAGAGGACACGATATTAGTGCAGACTATTGGTCCTTGGGTAAGTCAAAACATTTAAATGTTAAAAAATCGCTATCTTATTTTATCCATATTCAATGTTGACTAATAAAATTGGCAAAAAAGGACAGACAAAGACTCTTAAAAATACTGGCTTCTAGTTTTCTACACATATAATTATTATCGTTTCAGGGGTGCTCATGTTCGAATTATTGACTGGATCTCCACCATTCACTGGTGCAGATCCAATGAAGACATACAATAAGATCCTGAAAGGTATTGATGCGGTTGAATTCCCGAGGTCAATCACACGCAACGCAGCCAACCTTATCAAGAAACTTTGTAGAGACAACCCTGCGGAGAGACTCGGTTACCAACGAGGAGGCATTACTGAAATACAAAAGCACAAGTATGTAAACAAATGTTGACAGAAATTAACGCCTTATAATCATAATTACTGTTTCTGCTTCCATATAACGCGAGTATAAAAACAATACAATAACGCGAGAATAAAATCAATACAATTTGAAAGGACTAAAACTTGGAATTAGCCTGGGTAGAACGGTAGATCCTGAACGGATATTGATTTTTATTTCCATTAGATTATATGTATTTTTACATAAATGTTTTGTGTATAAAAGCACAAAATATTGTATGTATGAAAGAATAGGTTTCTAACGTCTAATTTCTTATGACGTACTTTAAATTTTGAATGTTTACCAATTTTTAAACCCAAAGATGGTTCAGGGTTATTACTAACTTCATATAGGTCAAATATTAAAAAAAAACTATAATTCTTTCCAGATGGTTCGATGGTTTCAACTGGGAAGGTCTAGCACAACGCACTTTAGACCCCCCGATTACTCCTGTTGTCAAGTCCGCGGTAGACACACACAACTTTGATCAGTATCCTCCAGATGCAGACGAACCACCGCCAGATGATCTGTCAGGTTGGGACAGCACCTTCTAATGTAACCCAATCAGATGGTTTTCATTATCTGGTTAGGACCTACTTTGATTCTAGTGTAGATACGATCTTATAGTTTTATGGTTGTTTACAACCTAATAAATTTATTTAGACGTTATTCTGCTCTGCTTGGGATAGAAATATAGACAACGTATCTGAAGTTATGTCATTACATGTTACGTACGTTACAGCTGACAACTTTAGATTTTAATGAAGTCTTAAGAGACAATACTAAATTCATTAAATTGTTTTCAAAGATTTTATCAACGATTTTTTATAATTATTAAATGTCTCAAAAGAGTATTTATAATTTACTAAATATTTATCGAATACGGCGTTCGCGTTATCGTGAAGTAAGATATATCTCACTTAGTTGTTAAAAAGCAGTATTTTGCTGTTTGCCATTATAATCTTTATTAGCGCTTGCCAAGTCACAGATATATCGCTAATATAATTTACGACCAGTTAATGTTGAATTTTTTTTTGTTTCTGATTTAGGATTAGTGCTGTATTTGTATATACATATATTTATTTCAAATTAAGTAAATTGATTCTGATAGTTTTGGTGTTAACACAATTGCTACGAAGTATAATATTGTTTGTGTACCGATATATTGTTACCAGAATAAAATATACTAGCAAAATCATCTATTGACATTCATTCATTCGTTCTTATATTATGTAATTAATAATAACTTTTTCTTTTTTTCATTATGAATTTAAGATTGGTAATTTAATTGAATTAGATCTATATTTATTATTTTTAACCCTATTCGTTAGAAAAGTGGCAATTTTAATTTAAATTTAATTAAGGGACGAATAAAGCAAAAACGTAAATTATATATAAATTAGTATTTCATTATATACATAGGTATATGTTTCAGTTATTGACAGAAATATATAAAGTATGGACTTAAATTTAATTGATACCCGTTTTGGTGCTAAATTTAATGCAACCTTTATAATATACATATATATCAAATTAATAATGTAAATTCTTATATAATCTGTAAATTATTAAAATTAGTGTGAATTTTAATTGTTTTTATTTTATAAATCTTTTTAGATAAGTACTTACATAGTTTGAACATTGTTTTCTGCTTTTCTTATGCAACAAATCAATTATTTCTGTAGTAATATTCTACTGAAAGTTATTTTATATAGAGTCATAATTCATACGTGAAGCCAATTCATTAAGTCTTCCGATTTGTGTAAATATTATTTAAGATAAAAAAGTTTCAATAACTTTTGAATTAACTAATATGTAGTGATGTTACGTAGTGTAAGGACATTTATTTTTGTAATCATAGATTAAAATATACCTAATTGTATGATTTTGAAAAATGTATAAATACATTATTTCGATTGGATGCTAATAGTTTTATTTCAATAATGAAAAATATGTAATTCGTTTTCTATAAAGTTAATTAACACAAGTGCCTATATATGTCTAAGTACTCTCATGTATTATGAATATAAAGGAAAGTTAAAAGTGGTTCTTAGACAATTTTATACTTTCGTGGGAACCTTATGCTATAAAGATTGAAAAGAATAAAATAATCGTCGATTATATACAATATTATATCAACTAAATGAAAGGTATTTTAATTTTTATTCTTACATTAGTTCGGCGTTCATTCAATGTCAGAATGCTAATAATTGCTCCTATCGATTTCTTTCTTAAAGTTATTTATCATCCAAACTCCATAATTATTGCGACAAAAATCTTCTGCTTCAGCTATCTAAGATCACTAAGATCACTAAGATCAAAGCATGGCATCGGTAATTAAATATTTATCACAAAGTACTTGAACTCAAACAATTGGTTCTGTGATTTCTAGGAATATAGAAAAATTTCACGGATTTATAGTTATTATAGATGAAGACGAAATTGCTTCATAATAAAAAAGTCACTTTCAAATCATCGATCACGATGTGTATGAATGTATATATCACATCTACAGTAAAGGAATAGTTTACAAAAAGTATCGATTTTCATGAAACAAATTTGGTCAAATTGTCTAAAATAAATTCAAACATTAGTCTCAAAATAAAATCATAGATATCATTACTCAAAATAAATATTAACTCCTCGTTCAAAACTCATGCATCCCTCTTTCCGTCATTGATTCAAAAATAAAGGTGAAATCAAATTTGTTTTACGTATATTTTTTATGATTTGAGATTATATACACAAGTATATTAATTAATTTTATTATTATTTAAGATTTTTTTAGGTTATTTATTTATTCAAAAAAGAATTTTCATAAAAAAAACAATGTTTTAAATGCTGATCCTTAAAAGAAAAAAATGTGTAAGTATGGAGAAATAATAATAATTATTAATTAAAAAAGTATTTCAAAGTTGTCAAGAAATCGTTTTATGTTAATGTTGTGTACGGTAAAAAGACAAAACTACTTTTCTATGTGATTTAAGTTTTAAGTCAATATAACTGTGACCTCAAAATATGCTAATAAATAGCAAAATATTCATACAGTTCGCTGTAGTTCGCAGCTCATCCCTGGGAATCGGAATTCCGCACGATATTCCGAAGTGGTCCACGCTTAACAATAAAGTAGGATACGCTGGAAATTGAAAACTCTATATACTAATATTAACGTTCACTGATAAACATGGAGGTCAATTTAGTTACATCGTTTTATATAACACATTAGTATTTTACTTAAAGCTTATATTATAGCTTGAATAATATTGTTTAAAAATCTGTACAGTATTTACATTAAAAGAGATGGTGTTCAAACGGATATTTATAAAACATTTTGCATTGATTCAAGAACTCATTTTCCAAGGCCTTGGAAAAAGATATGTATATTGATAGAATTCAATAAATTTCTCCATACTTTTCTCCCTTCTAAAAGAATTCGAATAAAAAAACCTTCAACGAAAAGAGAAACTTCAAGAGAAGAAAAAAAAACAGGAGGACGATGATTCGATTTTTATAGACAATCTAGGTTTTTTCATTCAAAAGAGGTAAGTACCTATTTTGAACATACCTCTAAAATATATGTACGTGGTTTGACGAATTATGTGAATTACGTCATTATTCTAACATATAAAATTTGTTTCTATTAGCTCTGTTGCGTTGAATATTGTACAAAGTTTGTCTTATACAAATTATATTAAGATCCGATGAAAGAATGTGACATGAGAAGGACGAATTATGAATTCATAAGGATCATCATCGCTATATTTGTATAGCAGAACGACATCTACAGTCGCTGAGTAATCTTCTGGGTATTCCGGGAAAATAAACATTGGTTTAGTTTTGATATGATAAATTTATATCAGACAATTTGTTATACTTTCATTGTGTTATATACAGTTATGTTTTATTATAATACATTATTACTAAACATTTACTATACAACTATCTTATATTGACTTAATTGTTTTACATATTTACCCATACTCAAGATGAGTATAATAGACAGAAACTTTTTTTATAAACATCGAAAACGAGGAACTATTTCCTACGGGATTAAACTAAGTTAAACGTCATTCCAAATATATCTGATACCATAAGGGAAAATGAAAATGAGAAAACCGAAAAATCTAAGGAAACATTCCCTTTCTGCGTTCTTTTTGCTGTTCTTGCGAAAATCCAAAATCCTAATGGTCCCTAAGGTATCACCCATAGAAGTTTAATTACATGTTCAAATCTTTATGGGTGGTAATAGCCAATTACCATCAGATTGAAATTTTTCCCTTTTCCTTTCATATAACATAAAAATATTTATATTTATTTACATTTGAATATAGAATTTTCGGATATCGTAAATGAGTTATATAAATTACCAGTACTATATCCGAGAATCCTAGTTTCGTGAAAGTTTAAATTATTATGTCTTAAAAAATTCTGTAATGAGCTTTTTTCAATTACTGAACTTAAGGAAATTCATTTATCTAATTACTTAATATACCTACTTATTTCTACATGGAAGAAAAATTAAGACTTAACTTAGAATTACAACCTTAAAGGAATATTATATTATATTTTAGTAAACGAGGTAAATCGTTAATAACAAAATAAAATATTGTCTCACTAAACTAGCAAGAGTTGTGTTATTGTTAAGACTAAACAGTGTAGTAGTTGTCTAAGACTTTCGCGAGTATTCATTTAAATAAAACGATTAATGTCGGATTTCATATTTTTTTCAATGATTTATTTCATTTCGTCTGCCCGTAATCACAGTTGCTGCAAGGATACCGAAACATGAGGAGTATGCAGTTTTAAATAATAAAAAACGCCGAAAATAGTAGGTTTATTTAAGGGTAGTAGTTATTAAGAACAAACTACCAACATAAGAACGTCTTAATCTTATACGAAAACTTAAATCAAGCTCAACATGTTTTTTAATAGCCCTGCAATGTAAATTTATAAAAAGAATGCATATTATGGTAGAAAATATATTGCATGTACACTTGCTATAATGAAAATAATTATAAACTTTTAAATGAAACTAACTTTTTCGGTACGTACGTGTTTTTTTATTACTTTATTTCTACATGTTCCCGACGTTTCAATTACTCTTCAGCAACGGTGATCACCGGCAGACGAGATCACGGGCATCTCATCTGTCCGTGGAACACGTAGAAATAAAATAACAGAAAAGCGTAGCATTTGAAAAATTTTGTTTTAATTAACTATGTACATGTAAAGATCTTAGATTTCATGATTAATAACATATTTATCCTCTTAATACATAATAAATGTTTATTAGAATGTCATTATACATTAGATGTACAGATTACATGCAGATGTACAGATGAAGACATGATCAGGCGCCTTTTGAGGAATGTTATTAATAGCTAAGCATCAGAATAAGGCATAAGCTATAATTTATCTCGGAATTCAAGGTAATTCCTGTGGAATAGACCATAACAATTGTATTGTGTGATGAAGTCACATGACACAGACAATACATGTCGCTAAGGATTACTTACCATTACTATTGTTTAACACACTGATTTATTATACTCTC